CCCCACCCAGGGATCGAACCCACCTCTCCTGCACGACAGGTGAATTCTTTACCACTGAGGCACCGGAAAAGCCAACACGGGAGTCAAATCTGGTATGTGGTAAAGGGAAATGTGAACAAAGCGCTGAAGGAGGGAAAATTCCTTCCCGTGAGGTGCCTGAAAAGTGGGGGGAGTTTCTCCCTTTCAATAAGACCGTGATGCCCTTCCAGAGGGAAGGAAGCACCTGAGGAAAAGATCCAGAGCAGAACAGGGAATCCACGTGTAGTGGTATCTGACTAGAGAGATGAGAGGGGGACCGAAAGGTAAGGAAGGAGATGGAGATCAGGACATATTGGCTTTTTAAAATTTATATATATATTTCTTAACACACACATGTACATATATGTGGGCTTCTCAGGTGGTTCAGCAGTAAAGAATCCACCTGCCAATGCAGGTTCAACCCCCTGGGTCCGGAAGAACCCCTGGAGAAAGAAACGGCAACCCACTCCAGTATTCTTGCCTGGAGAATCCCAAGGACAGAGGAGTCTGGCGAGCTACAGTCCATGCGCTCACAAAGAGTCAGGCACAATTCAGCAACTGAACACACACACACGTACTGGCTACACTGCATGGCTTGGGCAATCTTGGTTCCCTGACCCCCTGCATCGGAAGCATGCAGTGTTAACCACTGGACCACCAGAGAAATCTCCCAGGACACATTCTTAATTGCTTTGAAGTTGGGGAAGGCCAACTGGAGGACTAGAGGAACTATCTAGGTCTGATTAAAAATGGCTCAGAGTAAAGCGATGGTCAGGAGGAAACAGGTTCAAGCTGACACAAATCTATGGCCCTCAGACCCTGCCAGCATGGAGGGTATTTGGGAAGTGAGGGAGGCCTGGAGCAGCCACCTCCTCTGGGAGGGAGAGTTGGCGAGAGGCCACAGAGGGTGAGTGACATTGCTCGGCATGCCCCTTCTCTCTAGAAGGTGTGTAGCTTGTGCCTCTGTCGTAAATCTCCCCCTGAGTACTATCTGGAGACAGGGTTTTATTGGAGGACAGCTGCATAACTAATTTTAGGTTTGCACTGGAGAAATAGGGCAGGTTTAATCTCCAGGGCAGGGAGGAGTCACAGAAACAACGCTGAGCATCTGTTCTCGCTGAGGCTTCTGAGAATAACTCTCCCGGAGCTTGCCAGCACTTGCAAGATGACCCTCAGTAGAGCTATTGGACCCCCTGACATGTTACTGCATCCCTGGAAGACTGTTTCAAACCCCCGGGTTCTAGCATCCCAGTGGACTTGAGTAGAACCCACTGGGGTATGCCTAGTTACTATTTGGGACACGGAGTTCATGGGAGAAGGTGAGTGATGGCAGAAACCTCCCATCTGCATGTTTGCCTCTAGCTTTGCTGACTGATCTGAAGCAGGCAGCCAAGTATCCAATTGCATTTATATTCTTAACGAGGAACAACATTAAAGCCCAGCAAAGCTTCTGAGATTTTTGGCACCTTCTCTCTTAATGCCCACAACAAACCTAGGAGGTAGGACTTGATATTCACACTTTGAGAAATGTGAGAGTTAAGAAAGGATAAAGGACTTGCCAAGGAATCAGGTAGAAGGAAGGCTATAAGGCAGGTCTTCTGATTTTAGAACATTTCTTCTTATTGTGCTGCTGGAGGCTGGAGGTAAGGCAGAAAATGAGGCAGCCTTGAGAAAGAATTCAAAAGCAGAGGGAACAGACCTTTATTTAGCCTTTGAGAGGAAATAGTCACTCAACAGAAGAGAAAGACTCTCCTATCATTAAGCAAATTGGTCCATGAGTTTAGAGGGTCACTGAAATTTAAACAAATGTTAAATGCTTATGATTGTCTTACCTATGGTGGTTTTAGAAATCACATGCTGGAAACAGGCTGTGTAACATACGACAATGGTGGTTTAAGAGCAAAGGCTCATGTATCAGACAAGGTTTAAATTCCAGCTCTTTCACTTAAATCCCAGCATGTTACTTAATTTCTTTCAGCTTCCTTTCCCCCCCCCACCCCCTGTTAAAATTGGGGACAGTAATAGCACCTGCCTCTAAGAGGAAAGGATCAAGTGAGATAATGCATGCTAAGAGCTTAGCACGGGGCAGAGCACATAATAAACGCCATGGCAATGACAGCTCTATTGAAATGGCTGGTGGAAAAGCCTCTCCTCTATGGAGGTTTGGTTTTAATTTGGCGTTTGGATCAAGAAGGGGAATCATTTTGTCTAACTTTTACAGAACAGGCCAGAAATGCAGGAATAGGCCAGGGTCTCTGAAAAGTCTGTGTCATTGGAAACATCCACCACTGTTAATCCCTGGGGTTACTTTCCCATTTTTCTACACACCTTGATTGGATCTGTGCTTGAATTCTACTCCTTCTGCAGGAGAAAAAGAGAGGGCAGCAAGCATAGTCTCTGAGAAGGGGGCTTCGGTGCTTTGATGTTTACTCCCCACCCCTCAGTTTGATATAAAACTATCAGGATCCCATACAGGAAGGGCTAGGGGCCTAGGGAAGCCAGGGAGGACTTGCCTGGAGAAGCTCTCTAAACAACATGGTACCCAAGTGAACACCGAGGGGTACTGGTATGTGGGTGGGCCCAGGAGACGCTGCTAGATTTTCACATGATATAGGATAAGCACCAAATATCCCTGAGCTGTCAAAGAGATGCATGGAGACAACAGCAGTTTAGAAGAGTCCTGGAGGGGCCTACCCTGGTTGTCCAGTGGTTAAACTTTCACCTCCAAGCGCAGAGGTGGAAGTTCGATCCCTGGTTGGGGAGCCAAGATCCCACATGTCACGCAGTCAAAAAATCAAAACAAAACAGAAGCAATATTGCAACAATTTCAATAAGGACTTTAAAAATGGTCCACATCAAAATAAAAAACTAAAGCAATCTTTAAAAGGAAGGGGAAAAAAAAGAGTTCTGGTGAATAAGGCAAAAAGATACAGTTCATGGACTATTGACCAAAGACCACATTAAGATTGCACATGTCAGCAGCAAAGGCCTACAAACCATGATAAAAACCGAAATATCCAAATCAAATATATTCAAATTGAATAATGAAGTTTAAAAGGGAAATAAAATGTATTTAATAATTACAGAGAAATCAAGAAAGTTAATAATTTGTCACTGAGCTTGTGACTCTAAAGTTCTGTACTTAACTAAATGAGGATCCTTTGATAGAATTTAGTTGAATTTCATTTTGCAATACATTTGCACTTCAGAGATTTTTCCAATGAGGTACATGCCACACAGACTCTCAAATATATGGAATTTAGAAAGATGGAAATGATAACCCTATATGCAAAACAGAAAAAGAGACTCAGATGTATAGAACAGACTTGTGGACTCTGTGGGAGAAGGCGAGGGTGAGATGTTTCAAGAGAACAGCATCGAAACATGTATATCTAGGGTGAAACAGATCACCAGCCCAGGTTGGATACATTAGACAAGTGCTCGGGCCTGGTGCACTGGGAAGACCCAGAGGGATGGGGTGGAGAGGGAGGTGGGAGGGGGGACCCGGATGGGGAATACATGTAAATCCATGGCTAATTCATTTCAATGTATGACAAAAACCACTGCAATGTTGTAAAGTAATTAGCCTCCAACTAATAAAAATAAATGGAAAAAAAAAACAAAAAAACAAAAAACAAAAAAAAAGAGATAGTCTCCAAACAAAAACGGATCCCTTGCCAAATCAGTTTTAGAAAAGGGTATATTCTACCTGGAAGCTTCCCTGGTGACTCAGTGGTAAATAATCTGCCTGCCAATACAGGAGACTCGGGTTTGATCCCTGGGTTGGGAAGACCCCCTGGAGAAGGAAATGGCACCCCACTCCAGTATTCTTGCCTGGGAAATCCCATGGACAGGACCCTGGTGGGCTGCAAACCATGGGGTCGAGAAGAGTCAGACATGACTGAGCAACTAAAGAACAATGAATACACTACATACCCATCTTGAATATTCTGAATATGTGTTGGCTTTACAAAAGCTCTGAGAAGTCTTAGAGTAAGGAAATGTACCTAACTTTGTTTAACCCAGTACTTCTCAATATATCTGATGAGTAATTTTTTTTTGACTGAGATATGATGCTTTTCACTCTAGGAATTGCTAGTGAAGAGGGGTGCAGGTGAGAATGGATAATAATGGCATTAGTGTGGTGACCCAAGAGAAAAATAATCAGGTAGAAGATGAGGTGAAGATTGATGCTGGGATGCAGAAAATATCATGGCTGGGCATGGAAATGCTCCTTTGCCAAATGACCCCATATATCTTGGAAATTGGCTGAATTTTTTCTAATATTCTTTCAAGGTCCTTGCTGAGTCACTCCCATAAATGATGGATCTTAATGTTTCTGAATATCTCTAAAGCCAGCGTGTCTGACCATCTCCTTTTTTTTCAGTTTGTGATTCACTCCACTCCAGCAGGCAGGACCAGGGAGAACAGGCAGTTTCACTTCCCAATCATAAAAGCACATCTCAAAGCTAGCACGCAACCAGAATTTCATATCCGAGATTTAACTGGCCATCACTTCAGAGACCCTGAGAACATTTCATTTCCCTGTCCTTTCTGGACTGTCTTTAAAGGGCTGTACTCATCATGGTAGAGTTGCTGTGATTAAAAGAGATACCTGAACGCTTTAGATTAAAAAAAAAAAAAAGGACTTTTGAGTCAGACAGATCAGGCTGAATTCAAATCCCAATTCTGCCTTTTCCTGGCATTGTGATCTTGGGGACTCTCTCCACATTTGAGTTTCCTCATCCGAGAATGAGGATGGTGTCATACCCATTATATCACATCTATTCAGGTTTGTTGTGACAATCAGAGGAAGGGGTGCATGGGTGGAGATGGATGGGAGTTGACACAGGAGAAGGTCACTGTACCATATCTAAGGCAGACGTCATAGCCACGTCAACCAATCCCCATTAGAATATCTTTGCCATCCCCATCTCTGTATGTACTCAAAGGGGGAAAAAGTACTAAAAAGTGCTCAGTACCTGATCACTCGGGTGTGCTTCTGGGTGTAAGGGGTGATGACCTTGAGAAGCAGTTCCATCGCTCCATTAATCCCCAGCATGGCTCCTGTGGTGACTGAGAAAAACAACAACGCACTAGTTACTGACCTGTCTGGACCAAGCATTATTTTCAGCATCACAGACTGAGCCCAAAAGAAAGATGAGGTCTGTTACCTTTCCTATCAAAGGCAACTTAAAAGTAGAGAAAGTCTATGGTCTTTCATCCCTGGCTTGGAAGTTAAATATACCTGAAAAGCACACATTATCTTCCCATACTATCTTTTTCTCAAAGGGGGCCCAAGCCATGAAATTACGTTTTTCATTTTCCGGTGGCCCATTGCCCTACACCACTGTATTCAGGGGGCGGGCAGTATAGTTACTTTACAATGTTGTGTTGGTTTCTACTATACAGCAAAGTGAATCAGCCACATGTATACATTATCCCCTCTTCCTTGGATTTCCTTCCCCTTCAGGTTACCAGAGTATTGACTAGAGTTCCCTGCACTGTACTGTCAGTTTTCAGTAGATATCTGTTGTATACATAGCAGTGTATATATGCCCATCCAAATCTCTCCAATCCATCCCACCCCCTCTTCCCCCTTGGTATCCAGACTGAAGTAAGTCAGAATGAGAAAAAACAAATATTGTGTATTAATGCATATATGTGGAATCCATTGTATTTTTAACCAGAATAGTCAAGGTAATTGCTGAGCAGAAGATTTCTCTGTAAGTAGATTTTTGGCTTTCTGGCACCTTCAGATCAAGCTGTTTCACCCACTACCAACTTCCTATATGATACATACATGCATGCACACATATATGCATGCACACACAGACAAAATGACATTCACACACGTGTGTGCGTGCACATACACGCACATGCACACACACAGGCAATATCTTAAGAAACACTTTCTTGGATACATTTTGCTGTTTGGAGAGTTTACAATGAAGAAAAGTCGTAAGTGGATGGGTTAAGGGTCAGTACAACTTGGATTCACTTCTTTAAAACTTTAAGGAACAACTTAACAAAAAAGATAACACCCTTTCTGTTCCATGCCAATTCCAAATTCTCCTACAACTTTGCATTTGGATCTCCCAACACTGAGGCTATGGCTTGACTATGCTTCTATCCATTAGTTGGTCCTGCTCAGAGGTAATTACCAGAAATCTTTGCCTTTTTGTACAAGTGGATGGTTAGAGAAACATAGTGAGAACTCTGAATAACAGAAAGAGACTCAAAGGGGTATGTGGCCAACCTGGTGGCTTCAGGTAAGTATTTTGGATACAAAAATGTCACTCTCATCTTCAATGATGCTCCAGCCTCTCCACAATATCTCCAGCACCCCACTCCACTCAGTTCACTTTAGGAAGAGCTCTGGTCACATCAAAAAACAAGAGGAATCTACAGGATACAAAATGGAATCAGTTTGGCTGGGGGCAAAATGTTCAGTTAGGAGAAGGAAAGAAGGCCATCTTCCAAGGTGTGACTCTTTTTTTTTTCCTTTACTGCACTGTTGTAGCGAAACAGAGCAGGATCCTATGGTCCTTGCCCCCCCACACTTCTGTCTATGGAAAAACTTTAACCAAATAAAAAGTTTAATCAGAAAAGTGAGAAAATGCAGAAGCAAAGTAAAGCTATCAAAGGAAACCAAATAATAATAGTTTAGTCAATAAGCAAAGTCAAGGACTTTTCGTTCCTTCTTAAGAGATGATGATAATATAGTGAGCCATATCCTGTAATCTGTCTTGTAGATACTGAAATTCCCACCAGGTGGAAGAAGTTAAGTACATGATGACCAGACTGTAGCCATGACATAAGCTGCCACAATTCCCAGAGTTGGCCTCAAAAAAATGGAAACAAACCGAACCTGGAACTAAAGATTAACTGTACTTAAAACAATCAAGATGACACTGGTGGGACCACTGATGATCAGTTTCAAGATGGCTGTTAGAGCCAGCTGTGATGTTTCTGCATGTCGGCCCCTCCCTCAGCCTACAAAAGCCCTTCACCCCTGATGGTCAGGGTGGGAGGTGGGAGGAGGGCACAGAGTCCATCGTTGGACTGGCATCTACCCTCCCGCTCTGGTTGCCAGCATCCAAAATAAAGCAAACTTTCCTTTCTGCCAACCTGCTCTCTTTGATGGCTTTTGAGTGGCAAGCAGCTGGGCCGCATTTTCAGTAACATGCTAAAACAGAGACCTAGTGCCTTGTGTTTTGGGCCAGCTTTGCTCCAGGAAACATGAATGGTAGCAAGGGGGTCATGGAGAAGCAAAGAGAGAGAATCAAGGGAGGTTTATCCTGGCTTGCTCCAAGCCTCAGGAAAGGAGAAAAAATGGAAAACTGGAGTCTCTAATATAGTTCATCCCAGTACAGTCCACCAGAGAGAGACTGAGGCTGATGTCTTAGTTACCACGAGAAGTGCATATTCCTGGAACATCCACTATGTGTCCATTCCTCCTGAGGCTAGTACAGGCGGTCACTGCCTGGATCAAAATTCAAGAATTTGGCATCCAAGTTCTGTCCATCAATTTTCCCTCCCAAGGCTACTCAGTCTGTACTTCTAAATTGGGAAAACATGCTGGAGTAAACTCCTGGCAAGTAATTCGGCAAAACTCTAGCATTAAGTACAGTTAGGGAGGAAATAGTTTTAAGAGCGTGAATTCTAGCATGGAAGGCTTTCAACTTGGAATTGAGAGAGAATAACAATAAAAAATCCTCACCAAGTTCTTCCATGCTGGATGACTGCCCAAGGTTAGACCTCTGGCAGGTCTATAAACATCCCCATTGGCCATGTGAAAGCCGCTGAAGGGTTCACTGGCTGTCACAGAGCCATTCTGGTTCCAGCCAACTTCTTTTGCATATAGGAGCTGTTTAGAAAACTTGCTGGAACATTCGATAGTGGCTAACAATTCACCAAAGAGACAGAAATCCATGGGCTTCATGAACTCTGCTTGCCTCTCATCAGTAAACTTGATGTGTAGAGACTGATCATATATTTTTTTAAATATCTTATGAAATAGTTTGTACAGTAAATGTTGTCTTGGAATAGGAGACAAATGGCCATTTCTTCATATCCATAGGCAAATCTCAGCATTTTTCAGAGCTTCCTGCTAAAGGAATTCTTCAAGATCTCTATAATCAATGTATATAATGAGAGTAGGTTATTCAGTTTAACTATTCTTTACAACAGTGCTCCCCAACCTTTTCAGCACCAGGTACCAATTTTGTGGAAGATAATTTCTCAACAGACTGGAGTGGGGGGTGGTTTGGGGATGATTTGAGTGAATTACATTTATTGTGCACTTTATTTCTATTATTATTCCATCAGCTCCACCTCAGATCATCAGGCATTAGATCCCAGAGGTTGGGAACCCCTGCTACGAAACCAAAATAAGATATCTCCAATCTCATGCTGTTGGAAAGCTCCAAATGGGAATGACATACCTTCTGCCTACTCATCAATAAGAGTTGTCCTTTATGCAAAGCCACAGCCTCTCACTTAGAATTTCCTTTTTTTAGAAATTGATTTGGACAGATTCTTTTAACCTCTCTGAAATATTGTCTGATTATCTGGTCAACATATACAAATGTGAATGAAGAGTCTATCTGTGAACACAGAGTCAAGCATCTATCTCATTATTCCCTAGAAATATTGTCTTTTGATGGGTCCTCCATGCTTATTCACTTCCAAGTTGGCTCAGTGGCAAGATGAGGGTTCAATCCCTGGGTCAGGAAGACCTCCTGGAGTAGGTAATAGCAATGCACTCTGGTATTCTTGCCTGGAGAATTCCATGGACAGAGGAGCCTTGTGAGTCACAGTCCAAAGAGTCGGACATAACTGAGTGACTGGTCACACACAGACACGTACACACAGGCACATACCACACTTACTCCTGAAATCAACCAGTGAAACATGTCCCTACTACTTTGGTAGTTCTGAGGATGGTTACAGAAAAGGTCACCTATTAATTCCCGGTATGGGTGTGCTTCCTATTATCTCAAAGGACTGAGGGAAAAGAGGAAAGCAGAGAAGCAAACACTGACTTAGCAACTGTTGTGTGATGAGCTTACCCCTGAACATGATCTTACTTATCCATCCACCAAGTCTATGAGATCTTATTACAACTCTGACTTTACAAAGGAAGAAACTGAGGTTAAACAAGTTAAGTGCCCATGTCATATGACTCAAGAAATGAAATCAGAGTCAAGCTCAGGTCTTATTGGCTCTAAGCTCACATTCTTTCCTCTAGAGAGTATTATATCTAAATAATTGCCACTTTCTTTCTGCAGAAAAGGAGCTTAGAAAAGAGAAATAAAATCTATGTTCATTATACTGAAATAGGTGGTACAGAATCTAATCTATTAATAAGAACTGTCTCTGTGTGGATAGTAGAATAAACACAACTTTTGCAGTTAGAATCTCAGCCCTCATGACTTACCTGTGTGAACTCAAGCAATTTCTTCACTCTTCTAAGCCTCCTTTTCCTCTTCTTAGCTATCAGACGCTAAGTCTACATACAGGATTGTTAACGATACTCAGAAATAATCTAAATTAGGAGATGGCAAATAACATCAACACTTCTGCTATGATATATCAAATTACCTGAAGGACCATGTTAAGACACAATGGGAGACAAACTTGGGTAAAGGATGTCATGATCTATGCATGACTTCAGGGACATAGTGGAGAGATTTGTGATGTGAGGGCTGCTCTTGACAGCTGTAACACATTGCACTGTGCCTTGGATGTGAGGACTCAATAAAGCCTGCCTTCCCCTGGAATAGGTCTTTTTCACCTTGTAGTACTGACAGAGAGATGTAGAGTGCTAAAATGAGTAGCTCCCAAGGGAAGACGTGATGGGCCTCTCATTTCAAGAACTGATTCAAGAGCTCTCCAGGGACACTGACATAGAGAACAGATTTATGGACACGGGGTGGGGGGCTACAGGGGGAGGAGAGGCTGGCACGTATGGAGAGAGTAACATGGAAACATACATTACCATATGTAAAATAGATAGCCAACGAGAATTTGCTGTATGTCTCAGGGAACTCAACCCAGGGCTCTGAAACAGCCTAGAGGGCTGGGGTGGGAGGGAGGTGGGATAGAGGTTCAAGAAGGAGGGGACATATGTACACCTATGACTGATTCACGCTGATGTTTGGCAGAAACCAACACAATACTGTAAAGCAAATATCCTTCAATTAAAAATAAATAAAAGGAGGAAAAAAAAGACTCTCCACAGCTGAGGAGGAGACAAAGAAATAACTTCTCACCTCTACAGCCTCTAGAATGTGAGGCTCCTCATGGTTTATTTATCTTCTTGGGATTGCATCTGTCCTCCACCCAAGCCCTCCTTCCAACCATGCTCCCAAATGGTTTCCAGGTGCTCCAGCCCAGATCTGGAAGCCACCCCAGAGAGCCACAGTTGAGTTGCTTACCACTCGAGGCAAAGACACGCAGAGCCCAGAGGCAGTGGAGGAGGTTCTGGCTGTGGCACAGGTTTTTCCTGGCCAGAATCAATGTCACATCAAGTGCTTCCAATTCCAGGGCCTTCTGTCCAAACTTTTTATCTGTGAACACATATCAATCCATCTTCGTTGTGTTGCACATTAATTCTGACAGTTGTATGCTACATGGGGGAGAGGACAGCAAAGATGGTGGAGGGAAGAGGACTATCATGGCAATGAGACTTTTCGGATCTAGTGGAAAATGCTAAAGTATGTCTCCATTGGAACCAGATGGCTCAAAAGAGCCCATCAAGGGTACTCATACGGACCATTATTCTTCAAGTATTATTTACATGAAGCCTTGTGGGTTGTATGACTCTTATCCCCTGTATGTAAGAATGCTTCTGGTTGTTCTCAAACATGAGCTAGATGTTAGTTGGGTATAAATTTATTTCTTTAAGACAGTTTTAGAATCAAGGATACTTAAGTGACATAACTTGGGCTTCCCTGGTGGCTCAGTGGTGAAGAACCAGCCTGCATTGCAGGAGATGTGGGTTTGATCCCCAGGTTGGGAAGATTCCCTGGAGAAGGAAATGGCAACCCATTCTAGTATTATTGCCTATGAAATCCCATGGACAGAGGTGGCTGGCAGGCTATAGTCCAGGGGCAATTGCAAAGAGTTGGACACAACTTAGCAACTAAACAAGTCACATAAATTCAAATATAGTATGTGGACCTTGATTGGATCCTTCCCTGAGCATGTCTGTAAAAGGCATGCTGGGAACATTTTAGAGAAACTGGAATGAATATAAACATGCTTGTCTTGATTATGGTATTGTGATTATATAAGAACATGTCTCTCTTCAAAAAATTCACTTAAAAGTGTTTAGGAGTAAAATGCTATCTCTAATTTTCCTTAGACTATTTCAAACAAACATAAATAGGTTAAGGAAATATGATAAAATGTTAACAATGGTTCGATCTAAGTGATAGGTATATAAGAGGTCATCATTCTATATGATAGAGGGCTTTAAAATAAAAGGTGAAAACACAATTTCAGAAAATAAAATTTTCTCCCCAGATTTCTCGAAAATATTGATCAAAATAAACCTGATATTCAGACTTGTGGATGAGTCATTATTATTTTAATAATAGTGAATAAGCATAAGAAATAAATAGAAAGTACTTTTTATTCTATGCTCCTGGTTTTCACAGGATAACAAATGACTATGCCACCTGTCACATTTATCTCTGTCCTTTCCAAAGTGCAATGCCCAAATCATGTTTGTGTTAGCAAGAATACAGTCACTATCAGATTCATCACAGGTAGAAATGAGTAAAACAGGTAACATCCTAAACCTTAATTACCAATATTTATCTCTGAACCAAAGGACACCAGCAAAGAGACTGTGACTGAACTCATATAACCCATTCCCTTTATCAGAAAAGAAAGATACCTATCCTGCTCCATTCATGAGCAGCCAATCTCATTGCTGATCTGTTCAGCTCAGCCCCTGACAGCTTGAATGCTAACATGGAGGATTATAGTCTTTGATGGCAGAAGGAATGGTGATGTAATTATGGCAATGGTAATATTTGGGGTCTATAACTTGAAAATCACTTCCCTGGTTCATCTCTTTCTCCTATAATACCTACATGACTCTTATTTGTCAAGCCTCTGACCCTACATGCAAAGCAGGTGACATACAAGCTTGCTTAATCCTTACTGCAAGTGATCCAAGAATTACATACTGAGACCCAGTTTGTCAATGAGAGCCCAATGGTAACTTGCCCAAGGTCACACAAGGTCACACTGCTAATAAGCATCAAGCCAAGGCTTCCCTGGTGGCTTAGATGGTAAAGGATCCACTTGCAATGCAGGAGATCCAGGTTCAATCCCTGGATTGGAAAGATTCCCAGAAGGGAATGGCAACTCACTCCAGTATTCTTTCCTGGAGGATTCCATGGACAGAGGAACCTGGCGGGCTACAGTCCACAGCGTCACAAGAGCCAGACACAACTAACAACTAACACTTTCACTTTCAAGCCTAAAACCCAAGTCTGAGTCCCCAGCCTCTGCTATTTAGGGTGTATATCATATTTCTTCTGTCTTCCTGGAGTTCACTTAGCCCACTCTTGGTTTCATTGACTTCCTCTCATCCTTCAAGATTAGGCTCAAATGTCACCTCTCTCTGTCTACACCATCATAGAGGAACATCACCCTTTCTTTTGCTTCCAGTTACTACCTAGTTAATTATCATTGTCTGCTATTATCTAGCTAATTATGTTCTTTCTGCCCTCCCACACTTGACTGTAATTCCCACAAGAGCAGACCCCCTTATCGGTCCTATGTGCCTAGAACAGTGCACAGCCCTGGGAGATATGCAGTACATATCTGCTGAGTGATCAGTGAGGGAATTCTATCTGTTTTGTCTGGAACATGCTCCTGCAGGTGCTGGCTGAGGCCTGGGTCTCAGTCATTGTTTGTGAAATGTTGAAGGGACTCAAAGCAGAGTTCTAAAAGTTGAAAGGAAAGAGTAACCCCAGAGCCCTGTGCCCTCAGCTGTTGCTGCCTTCACAACATTCAGAGGAACTGAGCTTCTTGATTGTGGTCTGTATGAAGTGTTAGTGTTAGCTGCTCAGTCCTGTCTGACTCTTTGTGACGCCATGAACTGTAGCCCGCCAGGCTTCTCTGTCCATGGAATTCTCTAGGCAAGAATACTGGAGTGGGTAGCCATTCCGTTCTCCAGGGGATCTTCCCGACCCACAGGTCGAAGCTCAGTCTCCTGCATTGCAGGCAGATTCTTTACCCTCTGAGCCACCAGGGAAGCCCTGTGGTCTAAGACTGCACACAATTAGAGCTTAACTGTTATGACTAATTTGTAACATTTACTTGCAGCCTGGGTGCCGAGGCTTTTTCAACTGTGCTCCAAAAAGTCCTAGGGTTTTAGGGAAGTGTTTCAGGGTCCGTGTGGAAAGAGAAATGGGTGTGGAGTGTAAGTGGAAAGAATTCTAAATCCTCATCTTCGCTTCAACCAGGGAAGCACCACTTCTATATGACTTCTTTGGGTTTTTCTAGTAGTTCAGTTGGTAAAGAAGCTGCCTGCAGTGCAGGAGAACCAGGTTCAATCCCTGGGTTGGGAAGATCCCCTGGAGAAGGAAATGGCAATCCACTTCAGTATCCTTGCCTGGAAAATTCCATGGACAGAGGAGCCTGGTGGGCTGCAGTCCATGGGGTCACAGAGAGTTGGGCACAACTGAGCGACTGACACTAACACTATATCACTAGTGAGTTGAAAACTGTCCCTCCAGAAAGGAGGGGCGGGGTGAATTGGGAGACTGGGATTAATGTATACACGCTATTGATACTGTGTATAAAATAGATAACTAATGAGAACCTACTGTACAGAACAGGGAACTCTACTCAAGGTTCTGCGGTGACCCAAATGGGAAGGAAACCCGAAAAAGAGGTGATATATGTAGAGCTAATTCACTTTGCTACACAGAGGGAACTAACACAGCATTGTAAAGCAACTATATTCCAATAACAAATTGTCTTAAGCAATGGCTTATCCGTGCCCAACTCTTTGCGACCCCATGGACTGTAGCCCACCAGGCTCCTCCGTCTATGGAATTCTCCAGGCAAGAATACTGGAGTAGGTAACCATTCCCTTCTCCAGGGGATCGTCTCAACCCAGGGATTGAACACCAATATCCTGCATGGCAGGCAGATTCTTTACCGTCTGAGCCAGCAGGGAAGTCCTTAATAAACTTAACAAATGATTTAAAAAAATTTTAATGAAAAAAAGATAACTGGCTCCCCAAAAGTCATGTCTGCCTGGAACCTAGGAATGTTATGTTATTTGGAAACAGTCTCTGCAGACTTAACTACTTAAGTAAGGTCACACATACTTGAGCATGCCCTAAACACAGTGAGGATTTAGGGAGGGCTTCCTTGGTGGTCCAGTGGTTAAGAATCTGCCTGCCAGTATGAGAGACATGGGTTCGAGCCCTGCTCTAGGAAGATTCCACATACTATGGAGCAACTAAGCCCATGCACCACGACTACGGAGCCCGAGCACCTAGAGTCCATGCGCTGTAACAAGAAAAGCCACCGCAATGAGAAACCCATGCACTGTAACTAGAGAATAGCCCCCTCTTGCTGCAACTAGAGAAAAAAACCTGCACAGCACAGACCCGGTGCAGCCAAAAATAAATAAACAAAAATTTTAAATAAAGTGATTGAAAACCTCCTTGGAATATCTCCTCTCTGTCCTCCATATGTCTCATGCCCCAGGTAGTCCATTCCTGCTCTGGGTCCGGTCCTAAGCCCCCAGGTACCTGGGATGTGCTCGCCTGCAGGGCGGGTCCTGTCATCATCACCTAGCTGTTCGCCCATAAAAGCTCCCCAAATCGTTCCCATGATAACATCCCCAGATACCCTTCCAGCCATCCTTGGGTCTGGGGGTGTGGGTACCTCGGAGGCCAACTTTGGCCAGCAGCCGGAAGAGCGGCAGGAGGATGACATAGTCCGGAGAAGCCGTCCTGGCTGTTTCCACCAGGGTCTGCAGAAGAGCTTCACTCCCACCCTTGCTGATCATGTAGCGGATCCTCCGGTCTGTACCTGAGGGGGCAAGCAGAGGGGCCCTGAGTCTCACGTAACTACCCTCCTGTCCTTGGAGCAGGAAGCAGATCTCACGGCAAGAGACTGAGCAGGCATTGATTCATCTCATCTCAGAAACAGTAAGTGTGGAGTTCATGAAGCATCTTGTGTAAAGTTGTGCTGTTAGGTAAGGGGCCAGGGGTAGGGGTGAAGGGTGAGAAATGGAGAAATAATGAATATTTGAGAACTTACAGCCGGTATAATAAACGGAGCCTAAACTCTACTTTCCTAAGACTCTATGAAGTCTCAATATATGTGTGTACTTGTGTTGCATGTATTTGTAATGTTGTTTAGTCACTAAGTTGTGTCCAACTCTTTGCGACCTCATAGACTATATAGCCCGCGAGGCTCCTCTGCCTGTGGGGATTCTTCATGCAAGAATACTGGAGTTGGGTTGCCATTTCCTCCTTCAGGGCATCTTCCCAACCCAGGAATCAAACTCACATCTCATGCGTCTCCTGTGCTGGCAGACAGATTGTTTACCACTGAGCCACCTGAGAAGGCCCACATCACATGTAAAGAAATATCATATAGGCTGATGTATAATCATGTAGTTTATTAAAGTAAGAATATCAGTATCCCTCAGCTATTAGGTTTGAATCATCTATTAATATAAGAAGGTTTGGTTTGATAGCTTATCTAGAATAATTTCATGAGTGGTATTAATGATTATTTTGTGCTGGCCTTCACTAATTGATGTGAGGGACATATGGAAATGAGCAGAGTAATCCATTGAGAAACAAACACTCAATCACATATCTAGGGAGTTTTGAAGAAGATCTAGGCTAAGGTAAAATATGTTGGTGTTTCTACCTTAGAGTAGTTTTCAACAGGGCCCTCCCCCATCACCCCAGGATAAGCCCAAAGGCAGTGGTTACGTTTCAACCTGGAAGGGGACCCACCTGATTCTCCATGCTCTTGAACCAAGGTGGTCAAGAGGATGGGAGATTATAATCAAAGAAGACTCTGATTTTTCTTCCTCCACTAAAGGGGCAATAATCAGTACCTATTTCAGAAGGCGAACCCTGTGGTTTCATTCTAAGAGTTCCAGACACCACTGGACCAGCCAAAGGTAGAACTATCCCAGAGAACAAATGGGCTTCACCTCCAGAGGGTGAAGAAGAATGTAGAAGAGGTGTCGCCCTGCCCCTGGAGAGCAGCACAGCTTGTGGTAAACCTCGCTATGAGCGGACCCTTCCTTCTGAAACTGTAACCTGAGGGTCTGGGACTTTGGAGCGACGGTCACTGTGGTATTTCTATTTGGTACAAATGTGTCTTTCTAATGCAATGTGGCTGGCTTCATAGAAGTGGAATGCCCAAGAAGCTGTGTTTTCCAAGAACTTCAGGTGGAAAAGAGCTGATAGTTGATGACCACCGTAGTGACTTCTGTCCCCTTATCCTGGAAAATGTCATGGCTGACCACACTGCTAAGTCTAGCTCCTGCCTCGTCTTCCTGTCTCCACTTGACTCATGGAAGAGAGCTGCCAACACCTGGCTCTCTAAATGGGCCGTGATGAGGGAAGAGGGGGAGGTGAGAGGTCAAACCATGAGGGATGGAGGTCCTTGGCCCCAGAGATGAGATGTCACAGAACAGCCACCCAGAGTCTAAATGCCTCCTAAATCTGGGTCACTGTAGGGTGGGTGACATGATTGAAAATCCCAAAGTATATCCATCTTATGGTGATTTTGTCTCTCACAGAAAGCTTGGAGCAAACCCCCAGGCCACACAGTTTCCTGGGAGACAGCGCATCTGCATGCCCCCCATGTCCACCACAGGAGGAATGAGGTCATGACCTACTCACCAACAGAAAGCAGATCTCCAAGAAGCTTGAGGATGGTCAGGATGGACTCCCGGTCTGAGGAGCTCTGCAATGAAAGCAGATAGCCATCTTTAAGAAGGCAGGTGAGGGTACAGCCAACTATGGAGAACCGTATGGAGGTTTCTTAAAAAACTAAAAGAAGAACTACCGTAAAACCCAGAAATCCCACTCCTGGGCATATATCCAGAAAAGATGGAAACCCTAATTTGAAATGATAAATGCATCCCAATGCTCACTGCAGCACTATTTATAATAGACTAGACACAGAAGCAACCTAACTGTCCATTGACAGATGAATCGCTAAAGAAGATGTGGTGCATGCCTGCGAGCTCAGCCGCTTCAGTCGTGTCTGACTCCTTGCGACCCCATGGACTTTAATCTGCCAGGTTTCTCTGTCCATGGGATTCTCCAGACAAGAATACTGGAATGTACATGTTTCAATGCTGTTCTCTCTAAACATCCCATCCTCACCTTCTCCCACAGAGTCCAAAAGTCTGTTCTGTATATCTGTGTCTCTTTTTCTGTTTTGCATACAGGGTTATCATTACCATCTTTCTAAATTCCATATATATGTGTTAGTATACTGTAATGGTCTTTATCTTTCTGGCTTACTTCACTCTGTATAATAGGCTCCAGTTTCATCCATCTCATTAGAACTGATTCAAATGATTCTTTTTAATGGCTGAGTAATATTCCATGGTGTATATGTACCACAGCTTCCTTATCCATTTGTCTGCTGATGGGAATCTAGGTTGCTTCCATGTCCTGGCTATTATAAACAGTGCTGCGATGAACATGGGGGTGCACATGTCTCTTTCAGATCTGGTTTCCTCCGTGTGGATGGGGAATACATGTAAATCCATGGCTGATTCATGTCAACGTATGACAAGAAACACTACAGTGTTGTGGAGAAATTAGCCTCCAACTAATAAAAATAAATGGAAAAAAAATAAATTAAAAAAAAAAAAAGAATACTGGAATGGGTTGCTATGTCCTCCTCCAAGGGATTTTCCTCACCCAGGGGTCAAACCTGCATCTCCCGAGTTGCCTACATCGCAGGCAGATTCTTTACCACTGAGCCACAGGGAAAGCCCAAAGAAGATGTGATACATATATACAATGGAATATTACTCAGTCATTAAAAATAATGAAATAATGACATTTGTAGCAACACGGATGGACCTAGAGATTATCATACTGAGTGAAATATGTCAGAGATAGACAGATACCATATGATCTTACATGTAGAATCTTAATAAATGACACAAATAAACTTATTGACAAAACAGAAACAGACTCACAGATATAGAAGACAAACGCATGGTTACCAAAGGGGAAAGGTGGGTGGGGGCGGGGAAAATCAGGAGTTTGGGATTGACATGTACATACCACTATACAAAAAACAGATAATCAACGAGGACCCACTGTATAGCACAGGGAACTCTACTCTACATTCTCTGATAGTCTAAATGGGAAAATAATTTGAAAAAGAATAGCACGTATATGTATAACTGAATCACTTTGCCATATACCTGAAACTAACACAACATTATAAATCAACTCTGCATGCTAAATAGCTTCAGCCATGTCTGACTCTATGCAACTCTATGGACTGTAACTCACTAGGTTCCTCTGTCCATGGGATTCTCCAGGCAAGAATACTGGAGTGAGTTGCCATTCCCTCCTCTAGGGGATCTTCCCAACTCAGGGATCAAACCCACATCTCTTAAATCTCCTACATTGGCAGTTGGGTTCTTTACCACTATCACCACTATGGGAAGCCCATAAATCAACTATACTCTAATATAAAATAAAATTTTTAAAAAGAAAGAAGGCAAAAGGAGGGAGGCGGCATGGTCAAGTGTATGCATGGGAATGGCAGCTTCCTTCTGCTGAGAAAGACTTTCTACAATGAAGAATGGCTAAAGGGAGACTCCCCTGGTGGTGTGGTGGATAAGAATTCACCTTCTAATGCCAGGGACTCAAATGAGATTCCTGGTCTGGGAACTAAGATCCCACATGCCTCAGGGCAACTAAGCCCATGCACCACAACTAGAGAGAAGACCACCTGCCTCAAGCAAGACCCACAGCCAAATAAATAAATATTTTTTAAAAAAGAAATGGCTGCATGGTTGCTCCTTAAACAATATCTGAAAAGGACTCACCGAGTGAAGCATCTCAGGGGCTCTATCTCCATATTTAGCCTTCAGAAACTAGCAACATCAGCAAAATGGGCAAAAGAAAACATTGATAGTTTAGGCAGAAAGGGCAAATAAAAAGGGGCTTTGTGGGCCAAGGTAGCAAAGCCTAATATCAGGAGGCTTGGATTATTGTTTAATCCAGGGCAGAGAGCAGAAATAGAAATCCACCATCATGTTCAGATGGAAAGACTTCCCTGACTCACAAGGATGAAATTTTATTTTCTCAAGAGACACGTCGGGTAACAGCAAATCTCATGATATAGGTCTAAGGGAAATTTGCAATTCTTGGCACGCTCCCCTTTGTTACACAGGAGAGAACACCAAGACTCGGAGGGAGGGCTTATTCAAGACCTCTGTGGTGATCCACAAAGCCAAATCCAAAGGACAGCCCAGGCCAGGCTCCCAAAAATCAGGCCAGTGTCATTGCATGGTAATACGTTAATTTTCTAGCTCTCAAGAATTTCTTTACCTATAAGTTGCAAGTTTGCATCCATAAACATCACCTCTCCAAAGCCCCCACTCTCCAACCCCTGGTAAGCATCATTCTATTACACTTTCTGTTACTGCAAGTTCAGCTTTTTTAGATTCCATATATCAGTGGTATCACACAGTATTCATCTTTCTCTGTTTTACTTATCTCACTGCACCTAATGCCTTCAAGGTCCATCTGTGTTGCTGCAAATAGCAGGATATTCTTTTCCTCGTGGCTGAATAATATTCCACTGTATGTATATACATCTTCTTTATCCATTCATCTGTTGAGGGACACTTAGGTTGCTTCCATATCTTGGCTGTTATGAAAAATGCTACAGTGAACATGGGTATGCAGATGTCTCTTCCAGATACTGCTTTCAAATCTTCTGAATATAAAGCCAGGAGTCTTATCTTACACCACTCACAAAAATTAACTCGAAATAGATCAAAGACTTAAATCTAAGACTTGAAATCATGAAACTCCCAAAGAAATCACAGGGGAAAAAAAACCTCTGACATTAGTGTTGGCAGTGATTTCTTTGGTAAGACACCAAAAGCATATGCAATGAGATTAGAATAAACAAGTGAGACTATACTAAACTGAAGAGCTTTTGCACAACCAGGGAAACAATCAACAAACTGAAAAGTCAACAGAATGGGAGGAAATAGTCACAGATGATGGGCTTTCCTGGTAGCTCAGTGGTAAAGAATCAACCTGCCAATGCAGGAGACACTGGATCAATCCCTGGGTTGGGAAGATCCCCTGGAGGAGGGCATGGCAACCCACTCCAGTATTCTTGCCTGAGAAATCCCATGGACAGAGAAGCCTGGTGGGCTATAGTCCATGGGGTCGTAAACCCATGTTGGACATGACTTACTGACTAAATAACCACAATTAAGATTTTTTTTAATTTATTGGAGTATAGTTGCTTTACAACATTGTGTTAGTTTCTACTATATAGCAAAGTGAATGAGCCATATGTATACATATATCCTCCCTTTTTGGATTTACTTCCCATTTAGGTCACTGTTGCACACTGATAAGATACTATTGTAAAGGTATGCTTTTGCACACCAAATAAGGCAAAAAAAAAAAAAAAGGTCCATTATGGACAAAATACCAAAACTTAATACTTTAACTCATCTTACAGGTGTGATGGGACATCTGGGGTTCCCTAGGCATTTGAGGTTTGTACACTTTCCAAGGAAAAGACTTGGATTTGCTCTGGGAGCTTCTCCACAGGGAGCTGAGCCTAATGAAGGCAGCCTCAGCATCACTTTTCTGATGCCTCCCATCACAGCTGCCCTGGACACTAACAGAAGGCATCATTCTTTGAGTCCCCTCCAACAAATGTCATCCACAGTTGTGCACCATGTCAGTGTTCCCTGTCCCCTCCCACCCTTTGGTCTCCCAAAATCTGGGAACAAGAACCAAGGATCAGGGAAGTCACCGATATATCATCCCAGGGAATTTGCTAGTCTTAGGTTCTGGTACCAATTCCACTGTAGGAGAGGTTCCCTCACATCCACAAACAATACTCTGGACACCATCAGGTTGTCCTACAGTTCATCTCCATTCTGACGCTATCTACCCAGAGATAACAACAGATTCCGGAGGTAGAGGGGTCAGTCCTACAAGATCGCCCACCCCTACTTCAGACTCCAGTGGCAAGTCCAGGTTGTGACCCCTCCTTCTGGCCAACACACTTGTTATAAATCAGAGGTACCAATGAGTCCCTCTAACTCAGGGTGTCAACCACTAGTCTAGGTTGTTAATCTGTCCTTCCAGTTCGCTGGCTATAAATTAAAGATTCCCACCATCGACCTCCTCCTTGGGTGTGATTAGTTTGTTAAATCCTCTGCCTGAACTCAGAGAAACATTTCACTTTCTGGATTGCTAGTTTATTGTAAAACGGTATAACTCAGGAATAGCCAGATGTAAGAGATGCCCAGGGCAAGGTATGGGGACCTGGCACAGAGCTCACACGCCTTCTCCAGGAGCATCACTCCCCCAGCTCCTCCACCTATTCACCAACCGGGAAGCTCTCTAAACTTCATCTCTCAAGTTTCCTGTTTTCTTTCTTTTTTTAATTTTGGGGGGAGGGGCACACCCACAGTATGTGGGGTCTTAGTTCTCTGAACCCATGCCCCTGCCTTGAAATGTGGAGTCTTAACCACTGGACTGCCAGGGTAGTTCCCCTATCCTTACATAGTTTATAGATTCAACTTCTGGCTCTTCTACCTTCCCTGGAGGTAAGGGGGTCTTGGGGTCTACTGGGGAGCCAGGAAAGCAGACTGAAAGTCCCAACCCTCCAATCACATGGTTGGTTCTCCTGACAATCAGCTTTCCATCCGTAGGTGTGGTCCAAAA